ATAGTCAGCCACCTTATTCTGTATTCTCTGTCTATATCAGTGATTTCTTTCAGAATCTCACTTTAGTTATTTTATTTTTATTTGTTTGTTTATACATACATATATATAGAGTGAGCACTAAAGACACAGGCCAGTTTGATGATACAAATTGTTCATTCCTGATTTGGGAACATGTTTCTTTCTTTTATTTACTTACAGTATTTTCTACATGTGTCTTTAAAAATAATTACAAAAAATAAAATATAAAGCTTTAGTTGATTGGCTGTGGAATTAGGGGTGGAAGGGGTAAGAGGAAGGTTGGAATGGGGGTGTAGGGGGAGGGGCCCAGTGGCCTAAAGGAATATGGGTACTTCCATGTGGGGGTGATGTGATACCATACATCTGAGGAGGTGTGAACCTATTCACCAGAATCATGTACAGGGTTATAAATAGTTACCTCAATAATGAAAATGAAAGCAAAAAAGGAATGTTTAGTTGAACATACCAAGCAGCATTATTAATTATTTGTTGTGTCTGATATTTTAAACCTGGCATAGTAGGATGGAGTGCAAAAGAAAATTAAAATACAGTATCTTTAATGTTTAGATTTTAGGTAGAAGACATGAAAGATAAAAACGTTAAAACCTGAACATTATTAAGTGAAATGATACAGGTTAAGTATTAAGTATTGAAAGAAGAAAGTAGAGAGATAATGTTAGATTATAGCCTAAGAGATCAGGTCAAGTATAATCATAGAGAAAAATCTCTTATTGATGAAGGTTGGGTCTTCACACAGAGATATTCTTCTTACAACCTCACTGAGTTCACAGTTATTTGATGGCCAATTTACAACTTCCTGGTCATGTGCTAGGTCTTAGAGATGCAGTAATAAAAAAAAATCCTCCCTAGCTTAATAGTCACTTGAGCTTGAATAGTACTTTTTATTTGTTTTCATCTAAATGAAAGTAATTTGTATATGTATAAATTAGTCAGAAATGTGTAGCCAATTTGGGCCAGTCTTTTAAATGATGGTGATGATACTGACCTATTGAACTGTTATGAAGGTTGGTAAGAAAAGTAAGAGTGTCATTATTCATGGTCTTCTTTATTTGTGTCACTGCTCCTAGTGATTGCTGGTATACGTGAAATCAAAAGTAGACCTTCTGACCGTCTATGGCAAAGGCTATGAGATAGTTGCACTTTTCTTCTTTTTTTTAAATACCTTGTTATATAAACTTTTCCATCATCTTTGGATTTAGGAGTAGATTAGACAGGTCTGGAAAAGAAGATCCCCTACTTGCTAGGGGTTACTTAGGGGACCAGGGTCATTTCTCCTGAGGCCTGTTCTTTTCTGTAAGCACAGTATACTGACTGATTTCAGCAAGTGTCTTTTCTTTGAATTGAAATTTGTAATCATAAAAGTAAACCTTCAGTTATAACTACTAAAGGCAACTGGTCTCATAATTAGAATAATAACTCGTAGGATTTTGGTTTTTATGTATGCCAAAACCTCACATGACTTCTTAAACTTTACTTTATTTGAGTTTATTGAATTTTTTTTATTGTTTTCATTTAATTTTGCTCCAGCTCTCACTGTGTTGTATCAATTGTGAAATTTCTCCATAGCATCAAATCATCTGCTGTAAAATCTATAGTGGAATATATTTTAGGCATCCTATTACCTGTTTAAAAAGGTAATAAAGAAAAATCTTGCTTCGTTAGAAGTTCTTAATTCTAAACAAGCAGGAATCTAAGTGTTCATTGTTTTCTAGGCTTTTATTATAAAACTATTTTCTGCAACAATAATGCTCCAAAACTTTTTCAAGTGTCACCTGCAACATGATTTGCAAATTGTATCATTTTGCACTTACTTTTAAGTATTCTGCTTTATTAGGAAGTACATTAGCCCCAGAAATTACTGTGACCCATTTGCTACTATATTTCACAACTTCAAATTGTTCACATTTGAAACTACATGAAATACTTTTTAGGGTTTTTTGGAACTGTATGCTGGCAGGTGATGAGTCATAATTCAGCAGCTGTGCTGTTTTACAAGTTGGGCTGCTGGAACCTAAGACTTGCCTGTGGTGGCTGACTATGGAATCCTTTCTATTTAGAATTTAGTTGTTTGCTAAAAATTAAGCTTTGGATTTTATAGGACCTTTGTCCTCCTCATTCAAGAAATATTTAGTTTCTGTTGCCCAAAGGGCACGCAAGAAACAGCATGACTAACTTTCGGGAAATTGGTAAGCAGTTATTTTTAGTTTTAACTCCTTGCAACCATTTCCTTTTGTTCTTTAGACGGCATTGTTGATCCGTTCATTCATTCACTGTGCTCTGTCCCCCACAAGATGACTCTGAATAAACCCTCTCTGTGTGACATAACTGCCTGTTAACTCTTATTTTATTCCATTTTAACTCATGAGTTACAATAGCTTCTGTCTTTCTACCTTTCAAGTACTAACCAGGCCCGACCTTAGCTTCCTAGATCAGATGAGATCGGACACCATAGACAGCTTCTCTTTTTCTAAGTGCATTTTGTTCTTAATTGGGGGGTAATTCCCCCTAGTCTATGTTCATCTAGTGAAGATACACAAAATTTCTGTTTTCATCAAAATATTGTCTAGTGTTACCTGGTGTTGTGATTTCACTTTTATTTGCTATTAGTATTTATTTGAAAGCTATAATTTTTGGGAAATGTTGAAGTTAATATTACAGAATCTCAGGTCCAGAATAAATGTTTTCAAAGGCTCATCACAGCCAGCTGTTTGAAAATCTTGCAGTATTTAAGGCATAGTGGTTCAAGGCTTAGCACTGTCAAGCCATCTCCAGCCACTGCACATGAGTTGGATCCCAAGGCCCTGAGCTGACTGACCCACATGGAGCAGCAGACCTCACCTGTCTCTCCTGCTGCTCCTTCAGCAGTGTATTTCAGTCAGTCTCTTGTTCTGCTTCCCACTCTGTCTGGTGAACCTCTCACCCCCTACTTCTCTGGCCTACATCCCAGCTCTTGAATGCATACATAAATAATAAAAATCTGTTAAAAAAAAAAAGCCACTGCCATTTTTTAGAGGAAGTCAGATAAGAAACCTCACTTTTTGGTGCTAAATCTAGAGGTTAAAAGCTGCAAATTCTACAGGACAGAGGGGAAAAAGTAAGAAACCTCACTATTACTCTTTATATACAGTGAGCGTTTGATACACAAGTTTTTCACTTTAAATCTCTTCAAGGATGACCTGGTCATTTCATAACATTATATTTTAACCTTTTAATGCTTTTTCTTTTTTCTGTAAAAGAGAAGCATTGTAGCATTTAGGAGTCGGACCACCTGGTTTCGAACCCAAGTTGTGTATCAGTCTTGCCATGCCTCAGTTTCCTTATCTCAAAAATTAAAATTACAGGACTTTCTTTATACATTTGTCTTGTAACTTGTATCAGACCATTCATGTAAAGAGTTTAGCATAATGTTTGATACAGTAGATAGTGGCTATTATAATTATTGTAGATTGTTTTATCTTCTATTTTAGAAGATTATTTGTCAGAAAGAGGGAAAGTGCTTATTTTTCTGAAAGCCCACCCTATTTCTCAGTTAAAAATTTTTACTGAAATGTCTTCAAAAAAGAAGTGGTCTAATTCCAGTGCCTAGAGAATTTAGTTTCCTTTGGCCCTTTAGTATTTGCAGCTCTTACCATCTAGAGTTAGCATATTTTATAAGGGCAAGTCAAGCAAAACCATTTTTTGCATGCAGAGAAGGCAGAGCATGAGATGGCGCTGACATCTGGGCCTCTGCCCTGGGCTGAAAGCAGGCTGGTTATTTGCTGCAGCTTTGGCAGCCCATCTGCTGCCACCCTGGTGTTTAAGTCCCTCTTCCTTCCCTCCCCTACACAGCTCCAGGGGTGATGAAGTCAGAGAAGACTGAGGCATAAAACATCTGAAGAGGGAGGCAGAAGACAGGCTCAGGGAAAGACAGCAGAAAGATAACCCCTATTCTATAGATGACCCAGCTTTGTAAACGCTAAATCCCCTCTGCCAAAGGCCATTTGCCATGAGTTCTGTGGATATTAGAAAGATGAAAAAACACCATCATCCTATTCTAGTGAATTCCTATCTGTAGGCTCAGGAGCTTCTCTGGCCTCTCATCCAGCAATTTTTACTTTTTCAAAAAAACTTTGAACAAAGTTTGTGACTTTATGATCACACCATGGTAGCTGGATGTATTATGGTGATAATCTTGCTGTGTGTGCAGATGTCAGATCATTAAGTTGTACACCTGAAACTAATAGATGTCATTTATACCTCAACTTTTTAAAAAGAGCACATTGATGCTATTGTAAGGAGCATTTTTTTTTTATGTTCTTAGCCTAGACCCTTAGAATAAGACCTTTATTTTCATATGCTTTAACTGCTGAGTATATTCTTTGTTTCTCTTTTGCTGTGGCTGCATTTAACTCAACCCACTGCCAGCTAATACATAGCCATAACCCCACTGAAGTGGCTTCTTGTTTTAAGGTAACATCTTCTCAGCAGTCTGAAAGATACAATTCAGACTTTCCATACACTTATCTTATAACCACTTATTTAAAATTTAGAACACACACAGCAAAGTATATGCCTGATTATAATTTAACTCTTTAATTGATTTTGACAAAAGCTTGAGTAGTTAGGTAACAAACGGCAGATACAGAGAAATGGTTTCAGATTATCTATCTTTTCGTTTTTAATGGAAAATTCATTTAAGATAGTTTTACTTTCAAAGCTGATGATTTGTTTTAAATCAGACTGAATTTTTCTTACAATTTCCTGGTTGCTGTTCTAATATGGTTCCAAAGAATAGAATAATACTTTAAGATAGAGTATTCAGAGGTTATTTCTCATGCTGCTTAACTACTATATTTTATTTCAATTAACTTGGAGTAATTCTAACTGTTCATGAAAGGAGAGTTCTGATTGTGTTTTAAGTTTTAAATCAAATTTAGTTATCATTCAGTGTCTTTTTAAAGACCTCTGTGTTTACTTCCTAGACTGATTTTGCACGATTTAGTGGAACAAATGTGGAAACTGACTTTGTAGAGGTACCATCACAAATGCTTGAAAACTGGGTATGGGACATTGATTCCCTCCGAAGACTGTCAAAGCATTATAAAGATGGAAGCCCTGTGATGGATGATCTCCTTGAAAAACTTGTTGCTTCCAGACTGGTCAACACAGGTATGACCTAATATCTCTGAAAAGGAAAATAATTAGAATTGCTTAGTGGAGAATTCTTGGCGACTTCTTTTACAGAACTGACTTCCCCTTTAATAATGACAGTCCTTGGCGCTAACCACTGCTAAGGCCTAAGGCAGATCCCTGGCCAGGGAGCAAAACCCACTTAGCACAGCAGACCTCTCCTGTCTTGCCCACTGCTCCCTTCAGCAGTGTATTTCAGTAATTCCACTGTTCTGCTCCCCACTCTGTCTCCGGTGGCTTTTCTCGCCCCCCACACTTCTGGCCTACACCCCAGTTATTCTACACAAAAATAAATTTTTAAATTTCTCAATATATATTTTAAAAAAAATGATAGTACATCAAGAGTGCTTTCATAAGAAGGAAGACCACTAAATATATTGGAATACTGATTTTCTCCAATAAGACAAAAATGTCTTCCTTTAACTCTTAAATAGAATGAGATGTCTTATTCCTATTTTGTAATGAATCCCATAGGAATTAGTTTTTGAAATCTGTGATCCTATGATATTAGGACATATAGTTTATCTTCTTTAAAACATGCCCTAACATTCTTACGTTACTAGGTCTTCTGACCTTACGCCAGATTGTTCTGAGCAAAGTTGATCAGTCTCTCCACACCAACCCATCGCTGGATGCCGCAAATGAATATGCCAAATACTGCAAAGAAATTTTAGGTGTTGCAGCTACTCCAGGTATGTAAATTCTTCAGTGAGTTCGTTGTTCCTGTGAAGCCTCAGGTATACCAACACTGCCAGGGAAGGTAAAAGTTTGTCAGCAGATACCAAATTTAATTTGTTTCTGATTTCTGTAATCAGGCCGTGACTTTTAGATAAGCGAGCTATGTCCATATGAGTTATCCTGTCCAAATGTGCTTGAAGGGAAGGTGGCTCCAGCTTTGCTGCGCTGTAATGTAATCAGGCGTAACCAATTGGCCTCCACCCCAGAGCAAAGAAAGCCATTGGTGTTTGGCAGCATCTGCCCAGCTGCTCCCTCCCTATGATTTCAGTAAGAAATGTACAGATGGGGTGATTTTAGTAAGAAGCACACAGTTCTATCTTTTTTCTCATTCCGAGATCAGTTGGACTAGCAGTTTCTGAGCTACTATTTATGAGATTCGTGTGGGCGGATAGATAGGTGTGCACATAGGTGTGTTTAAATTTGTACTGATCTGTTAGAAGCCCACATGCACATGTAATTGTATATGTACAAGTATGTGTTCTTAGTGTAGTGCCCATTGTTCACCAAGGAAATTTGTTATTCAAATGAATCAGTTACATTTGTGGAGATTAAAAGGGAAAATTAAGTGGTTGAATCAGTCTATTCCCCTCATTTCTTTTGTTATAGTAGACTACACAGCATCTTGATGCTTCCAACCATTTCAAGAAATCCTTTTCAAAGTAGCTATAGACGTAAATTAAAGTGCTATAAGGCTTTCTAAACTTTTCAAGTTTTTGTTCAATAGTTATGAACCAACAATAAGCTCCATGCTGACGTATTGTAAGTATAAAGGAGAAGTGGCAAAGACTAGGCTTAAAAATAAAATATTTGTACAATACATGCGTGTTTAAGGGGATCCAAAAGGACGGAAGAGCTCTAAAACACTGAGCTGAGTGATGGGTGTGGACAAAACCTCTGAAACTACGGTCAGGCATTCCAGAGCTTAGGGCCGAAACTGATTCTGAGATTGAGCCATCACAGGAGAGGAGTTTGTAAACATCTTGGCCAAGGGCATGCATAAGCCTAGGGAGTTCTAAAGGTGAGATCCTGTCTCTCCTCCCACAACTGGGCTCCCCATGGGGAAACCTTAGCAGCTGATGACCTGATAACTAACATTTGCCAGCACATTGATTGAAGTGTATCTTTCTTTAAAGGCACAAATATGCCAGCGACTTTTGGGCATTTGGCAGGGGGATATGATGGCCAATATTATGGATATCTCTGGAGTGAAGTATTTTCCATGGACATGTTCTACAGCTGTTTCAAAAAAGAAGGGATAATGAATCCAGAGGTATTGTTTTTTTTTTCTCTTTTGTGAACTTTGTAGTTGTTCCCTCCCCTTTACTCTACCTGTAAAATATTTATTACCTCTAGATTTTAGAGTAAGAGATTTGGTAACAGTTCTTAACTTTAAAGTCTTGCATCTTCTCAAATTATCATACATCATTAAACTGCAGTGTACAAGTGATTAACTCTAATTCTGTAAGTTAAAAAAAAAAACCTCCTGCATTTTCTTGCTTATTAACATTCCAATACATTGCATAATTAAAATTCAAAGCTTTGTTTATGCTTGTGAGCATTTATAGCTGCTAGTTTTGACATGTGCCGTACAGTTTTTTAGTTTTATAGGAGGTTGGGAAAGAAAGGTAAACTCCCTGGTTGATAGAAATGGCCTTGCCTGTGTTTTGATATTCTCTACATACTTTCTTTATCCATTTTTTGTGGGAGACACCCTTTTTTCTATGGCTGACAGACCCCACCTACTGCATACTTTGTAACCTAAATGCCTTTAAGTAATTTGGGTGCTTCATTAACCTGAGCCATTCCCTTCCTTGTGCATTGACTTAGCTGCCAGGTGGCTGCCAGCCAAACCTTCCTGAGTTACAGTCCCCCAGTCTTCACTCTTGTGGAAGACTCAGCTGTTCAGCTGTTTCTAGGGCTGATGCGTTTTCCAGTGTGTTTTTCATTCTGTTTGATTCAGAAATTAAAAGAACAAATTATCAAAATCAGGCTCTGCTTACTTCAGGTATCTGGTTCATACTCTGAACTTTGTTTCTGGATGGCAGGCTGTCTTGCATATGTGCACTATGATGCACTAACGCAATGTAGCCCACCCCGACCCCAACAAAAACACCTTTATTCTACACAGGAGCCTTTCCAGCCACCCGATCGTCCATCCTACCCTACCTTAGGCTCCTAGGTCCCTTTAAGTTCCCTTCAAGTTCCTTTCTATTCCAGGTAATTGCAATGCTCAACAACTGACTATTCTCATAAATACCCTGCCTTCTGCATAATCTGCAGTCAGTGCCAACCCTGGATTCCTCCACCATCTCACTCAGAGATAGTGCCCCAGCATGTCCTGGGGAGGATTGTATGACTCCATTAGCATGCCCCGCTAAAAGTCATGCTGCCCAGCCTGAACTTGACACCCAGTACTAATCTGTAGTCTTGCTCCGCTTCCCTTCTAGAGTTTCTCTCGAGTTCCCACTATCTCCCTTCTCTCTTAGAAGATGATCTCTCCTCCCACTAAGAAATTAAAATTGAGTGTGTATGTTCATCTTACTTTCTCTTTCTTTACTTCAATACTTACCTTCTTTCTTCCTGTCTCAGAGGAAAAGTTACTAATACCAATCTTACTGGTTTGTCACCTCAGCAAAAGTCTGGGGCCATTGCTAACAACACTGATAGGCCTCAGTTGAAGCTCTTACTTTCACACTCTGATTTCTTGGTGTAAGAAATAGTCCTTGCAAAGCTCTACTTCCTGGCATTTGTCTCCACAAACTGAACTAGGAAGTTACCCTCTCTGCAGTTACCACTGATGACCCATCACCAACTCCCAATGCCCTATCTACCTTTTTTACTTCCTACTTCTTGTCATTCCTCTCTGTTCATACCCTTAGCTTAGCCATCAGTCCCTTTCTTACCTCCTAGAACTCCCTGTGTGTCAGCCAAATTCATGTGCTCTAATAGGTCTTTCCACCTTCACAAATACATTCTTCCTCTTTCTTCCACCTAAAATGTATGCCTTCTTTATTGATTCCTCTCAAAAATCCTATCATTATTAAGGGCTCTACTCAAATGGTCACTTATTTATGAAATCTTCCAGATCATCTGAATTAAAAAGTGTTCCATCCTTTGAACAGAATAATGGACTTGGGCAAAGAGTCTCAAAAAGCTTTTTCTTATGGCTGAAATATGTAGAGTAACTACTGTGCAAAACAATGAAAAGAAGAGGTTATAAAATATAACATAGGATGCAAATATTTATTTTAAAATGTATGTTTGGGAAAAACAGATACCAAAATGTTGTTGGTTGTTATTTTGGGGAGTATGTCTATGAGGTTATTAAATATTTTTCCACACTTTTTAGGGAACTTTTTCTTATTTTTATATAAAGCATGGATTTTTTAGTTTATTAATTTACATGTTACATATTGTGAATTTAAAGTGTATATATAGCACTTTACTTTGATGCATCTGTATTATGACTACCATCAAGACAATATTTATCACTTTACATCATAGTACACTATTCTTATCTATATTCACTAAACTGTGCTCTGCCATGATTACTATAGAAGCAGAAAATAGTGTTTAAGAGACTAGATAGATGAAGGTCCAATTGTACCATCATACTGAATCTTATTGGTTGGAGAGACTCCCTGCCATGTCAGTACAGTACCTCTTTGGGTTAAACCGCCTCCTTCTCCTCCTCTGTGCTTCCGCTCACGTGACCACATTCCCCTACTCGCTATTACTTCTCAGTCAGCTATCAAGCTAGCAGCCCAAAGTACTGATTTCAGTGAATCCGAAAGGGCTTGCAAAAACAGTAAAAGCTTGGCCTGTCCTCACGTGCTTCTGTGTATATCCTTATTCTCTAACTTCAGAGCTCGGCTAGCAGCCAGACTACTCTTACTTTAGACAAAGGACTTGGAGGAACTTGGAGATAGTGAGATACCCCAACAACCCAGAGTTGTTGCCCTGTGAGGTTGGAAACAATTTGCAGTGTTACTAAAACTGGATTCAACAGTGCTAGATGTTATTGCTTACTTTATGTCAGGAAACTGGTTTTAACTGCTTCTTTCCCACCTTCACCCCTAACCCCCATCAAATAATCTGGAATATCATGGCATTTCTTGACCCCCTGCTGTCACAGCAAAAGTGAATCTAACTTCAGTGAGCAAAGGAGATTCATTTGTTTCCCGTCCTCACACTCTTCACTTCAGGGGCAGATACTGGAACTGCTTTTAAGTAGTCATTTTATTTCCTCTTGGAGTATTCTATATTTTTTTGTTTTCAATTTGTTGTTATTTTTACAGATATTTATTCTAAAATAACAACAGACTTAACAAAATTCAAATACCCACTTACAGATATTAATACTTGGAACAACAATCCTATTCTACAAAAACCTTAGGTCGTTATTGCAACTGTGTTGTAATGAGGAGTAAGAATTCTGCATGGTATAAATACTGAATCAAATCTGAAGTCATGGGGATCACAGCAATCACCATATATCATGTAGACATTCTTGTCTCTACCTCCTTACCCTTCCTAATAACTACTCGGATCATATTGCGAAGGTAAAGGATGGCCTCTAAGGAGTCAGTACCTGCTATTCTTACCACCCACCTGAGCGTCAGAGGGTAAAAGATCACATACAGTTGACATTATTAGTGAAGGCCATCGGTATTAACAAAACGCCATCTATAGATCTTTTTAAGCTTGCTATCATCCAGCTAAGCCCAGGGTCTGCTCTGAGACCTTTTTGAAATATTAGCAAGTGGAAATCTAGAAAGTGTACAACTCACTCACTGGAAAAGCAGTAATAGGGAGGAGTCAGATGCAAACCTACAGTCTTCTGAATATCAAATGGTCAGCAATAAAGTGTTGTATGACACAACTATTTTTGTTCTGAGTGCCTTGATATAAAGGTAATGATGTATGTAATATATACAATAATGTAATATAATGATGTATTGTAGGCAAGTGTTAAAACTAGCCAGTTACCTTTAATGGCTGAAGGTTTGCTTCCTCTGGTTTTAGCTGTAGTTTTTTGTATTCTTCATACCAAATAGAGAAAACATGTGAAGAGTTAATTAGCTCGTTAAATATTACCTGAAGTCTCTGTTTCTGGTAGAACATGGAAAAATTGTCTCATTATCAGACATGTCTTTTACTTCTCCAACTGATCTCTTAACTGTGAAAGAGAATTGCTTGGGACTAATACTTTTCCAACAAGCTCTAGGAGATCGTCAAGGATATCTTTAAGGTTACCTAATGCAATTTCGAAATCCAACAGCTAATCATAGGGTTGAAAGAAAGGGGGCATTTTAAGTAGGGTCATTTCTTTTTATAAGGCAACTTCATTGTGGGAAAATTTCCTAAGAGGTAATAGACATTGTGGATTCAAAGGCAATGATATTGTTAAGCTAGAATTATCTTCCTCCTCTTTTGCATTTAGAGAAATTGCTCAGCTTTGTTTCTCCCATCAATGAAGAAGAAATACAATCAAGTATCACAGCTGAGAGGAATACCCAGACAGCAAGATAATTGAGTGTAGATATTGCATCTTCATCCATAATGCCATCAAAAGCAGCTAGATTTCACATGCACTAGCAACACAAAAATATGAAGAATGTTGGTTAAGCTTAAAAAAAGAATTATACAACAGAAAAAAAAAAGTGTAATATAAAGCTCAGTGCACTTCAGACAGAATCATCTTCTGTTATAATGTGTTGCTTATGAAGAATATGAAATTTCCTCTCCTGAAGGTTCTTACAAATGGGTTAACTTCTACTATAACTCTCCTGATGTACCATCCCAAAGCTGAGTTTTCTGTGCTTAAGGGACAAAGGAAGGAAATGGGATTGATTTGCAACCTACATTCTGAGTCTTGAATCACAAGCAGCTAGAAGTTATTTTTCTTCCTTTGCACTTCTATACTTCTTCTTTATGCTTCTCTTCTTAGAAGCCCGACTAGTGACCTTATTAGTGGTCTATTTCCTTATCTCACCTCCTAGATCTTAAGACTTTTGTGGTAGGAACTGTCCTACACATCTTTGTGTTCATTCTCTGCTCAAAACTTAAATGTAATGATTACTGTTACTGATAGGTACCTCTTCAGACTTAACTGGTCGTTCACCTCTCAGCTTCTACTCCTCTGCTTGCCCTAATACATATTACTACTCAGGGTCCTTTTTTCCTCCTGATCTCCTCCCTCTTTTTTCCTCCTGATCTCCTCCCTCTTCAGAAGTAAAGATTTGCCCTTCAAGCTTCACCACTTGAAATTTTCCTTAAGGTTTCCAGAAGGCCTCCTCCAGTCAATGAAGAATTAACTTCTTGTTTCTATCTCTTCTTGCTCCTCTTTCCCTAACACCAGCACCAATCTTTTGCTCTCACACTCCTTGGTTGTCAGAGGTACTCTGGCTAGTAGAAATGTTAGGTACCTGGTCATCATCTGTCCCCAGAATGATGGATGCTTTTTGCCCTGATATCTGTTGCTCAGTGTATGAAGAGACAACTCTGGCTTTACTCCGCAGAGCTCATCACAGTGGAAATTAGGAAAAGAGGATGAGAGGGCAGTGAGAGCTTCTGTGTGCTGCCACAGATACAGCAGGAAAACCCAATCTGTTTCTCATTTATATGTTCACACTAGATGATGGGCATCCTTTATTCAGATAGTTAAGATTGATCTCAAGGCCCTCCCTGGTGGTGCAGCGGGTTAAAGCATTGCACTAAAAAGCTTAAGCCACTTCCGCATGAGTTCGATTCCCGCCTGCCCCGGAGGTGACCACATGGCGTGGCAGACCTCTCCTGACCCGCCCGCTGCTCCCCTCAGCAGTGTACTTCGTCGATCTGCCTGTTCTGCTCCCCACTCTGTCTCTGGTGAATTCTCTCACCTCCGCATCTCTGGCCTGTACCCCAGTTCTGTATGAATAAATAAATAAATCTTTAAAAAAAAAAAAAAAGATTGATCTCAAAATATTCCCTCAAATAAAGAACACATATTCTTAGCTAAGATGGGTGCCTGTCTCTCCTATTTAATATTTCTATTTAATTATGTATTCAGTTTCATACCATTCGTGGAGATGAAGTTTTTTGTGCTTTTTAAACTTTTATTTGGAGACAGAACTAATTTTAAGAAATGCCAAGCCAGAACTACATCTGTTTCCATGAATTGTATGTGAGTAACTAAACGTAGTGGCAGTGTAAAGGAAAGGAAATGAAAGGAGGGATACTACTAAGGTTTATTCAGTACCACCATATTCCAGATGTTACTTTAGAGAGAGGGCAATGTACCAATATCATCTCTTCTAGTTTACCATAAACTGAATGAGGTAGGCATATTCCCATTTAACAGGTCAGGGTCACATAGGATGAAGGATGAAGTCAAGATTCAGATGGCCTGCTTCCAAAACTTCTGGACCTGCTTTAGAGAGCATCAGTGTTGGAGAGGACTTGCACTATTGCCAAAAGACACATAATACCCTTCTAGGATTAAAAACCACAGAGGTGACTGAATTTCCTTCTTACAAGATTTTTTCGCATGAAAACTTTCAGGGGTTGTCATAGAGCTTTTTTTTCCCCTAGCCTTCCTCACAGTTCAAGTTTCTTTATTATATAAACAAAGTGGAATCATTTATGGAAAAGACTCTTCCCACCTGTGGCATATGTCTCCCAGACATGGTGTCTCACTCAGAGAGCCCAGTGCCTTCCTAAAACAAAAATTCACTTAACCTTTTTTTTTCCTTTTTTTTTTTTTAAGAAAAGTAAGATCCTATTACCAAAATGGCTCTTAAACTCTTCTCCAAACTTCATTGCAAAGGAAATGAAACTATTAAAAGACCATTGCTCTGTAATTCAGGAAATTGAATCATCTTGTTTGGTGCTCTAGCCAGGGAGGAGTTGAGCTGCACTGAGCCACATATTGTGAGACTAAACAGTGCGCTCCTCCACGGTGACTTGCTCACACAGAGGAGGCAGGGCTGGCTCTTCAGGGTTCTGTGAGCTGCTCGGTGCTTGCATCTCTTCAGCCTAAAATTGCAGTCTTCATGTAAAATGAAAATCCTTTTGTCACATGTGAGCATTTGGAATGATATACTTTTCGAATTTACTTAGATTTTCATAATGTTCCTATAACTGTGGACTGAAGTATGTCTTTTAAGTAAATCCCCAAAAATGTCACACAGATTCTTATACCCAGTGTTAGGCCTTCATAAATGCCTTGCCCTGCATCATGGTAGATGTGCTATTGTCCTCCAACACCCACCTCTGTCCATAAAGATAAAGGGGTTTTGTTTTTGTTTTTTAAGATTTATATATCTTTGCATAGGAGAGCTGGGGTACAGGGGGTGAGAAGATTCACCAGAGACAGAGTAGGGAGCAGAACAGGTGTGTATACTGAAACACAGTGCTGAGGGGAGTAGGAGGTGAGACAGAAGAGATCTGCTGTACCATGTGGGTCAGCTCCCTGGCTTGGGATTGAACTCAAGTTGCTGTGGTGCTGTAGTAGATTCAGAGTGCTGAGACTAAACCCCTTGCCCTACCAGTGAGGCTCCCATGTCAGAGTTTTATTTGTTTTTTTTGTTTTGTTTTGTTTTGTTTTTACCAGCCAAAACCATTTCCAGGTCCATGAGAGCCCGCTTTGTAACCTTCTTGAACACCTCTGTAGCTAATCCTTTTGAAATTACATTTAAGGTGGGGTAACATAGGAAATATTTATCTATCCCATTTGTCTCTTTTCTCTGTCTATTTGTGCACATTGTCAACTCACTGCTGAGAATTTAAGGAGATAGGACAGGAGAGTGTAGAAGATCGGAAGTCTAAGCTCCAAATCTCTTAGCTACCAAAGTAAATAAATATACAGAGCTGTAGTTAGGCAAAAGAGAATACCCAGACAGAAAAGCTAAAGTCCTTTTCTCATAACCCTACCCCTTTCTCTGTTACATCTAGATATTTGGAAAATTGCTATAACAATGAATTATTAGGTTTGATGTTTTATTTTATTAGGTTGGAATGAAATACAGAAACCTAATCCTGAAACCTGGGGGATCTCTGGACGGCATGGACATGCTCCAAAATTTCTTGAAACGTGAGCCAAACCAAAAAGCGTTCCTAATGAGTAGAGGCCTGCATGGTCTGTAGACTGGGGATCTTTGGGAGCCGTCCATGTCTGGAGGACAAGTCAACACCACCATGTGTTACTAGCCTGGAAACTGAAGGGAGTTTTGCAAATGAAAATTTAGATTTCTATTGACTTCCTTTTTTTTTTTTAATTTGAAAATACAGATGTAAATGAAATTATAAATACTGTAACCTAAGATAACACTCATCAGAAAATGGTTGTACTATAAATTTCATAAAAATGGATTTTATTTCCTTTTATAAAACTTTCATATGAATATAATTTGATTTTTTACTATTGTAATCTAGATAGTGTAAGAGGGCTAAGAATTTTTAAAATTGAATCATATACATTATATAATTTGATCCTTCTTATATCTTGAAGTTTTGTACTTGGGGTTTCTGGACTGATAAATGAATCATCACATTCCTCTGGCAAATGTTGGAGCCTTGCCATCATTTTGACTCTGTCTCACAGTGATGTGTGACCCCTTTGCCTGCATACCTCAGGGCCAGGGGAATGTGCCTCGGTAATGCATTTATCTTTGTGTTTCAGGACTTATGATTCCCAAATGTCTCCCAGACTGAAATTATGTTCCTCCATTTGGGTTTGTCTTTTCTGTTTAAACTAACATCAGAGAGCACAAAAGAATTGTAAGTTTGAACTGACCTAACATATATTGCAAGTTGTTCATTTCCTCTTTAACATATAAGGTTATCAGTCTTTTGGTATATTTACCAATTAGAACTTGGACTAAAGCAAGTCCAAGTATATTTTCCTCTCCTCGTCTTGGTCATGAGGCACATCATACAGCTATGTGCCTCCTACAGTGCCCACCCTACCCCAAGGTGCAAGCAGACCTGTGACTGGTGGCCATTTGGGGTGCCAGGGGAGAGAGCTGACAGCACTGTGGAGCAGAAGAGTTCAGAATCTCTAAACGAGGCGTGGATTCTGGACAGAAGAGTTTGAGGAGAGCTGCTCCAAATTGTTGTGTGCAGTTTACATGCAGACACGGGGGTGCTCTTCAGTAGCCTACTTTGCCTACCAATTTTTCTTTTCAGTGGACCTTTAAATCTCTGTTTAACTCAATTAATTCTGGCTCTAAGTTTCAGCGATAGCAGACCAATACACTTATTTTCCTTAAAGGAATCTACTCAGTAAGAAAGCAAACAGGATGATAAAAATGATATTTAATTACAAAAACCCAAACTTTGAAAGTCTACTGCATCAGTCATTCATTTGTTCCCCGATAAAGTTTGCTTTTCTAACCAAAGACAGAATTAGAACCTTTCTATTCTCCAGTTGAAATGAACATTGTTCTAACTTTTAAAAAGAAAAAAAAAGGTATTATATTGTTTTATAATATTACAGAAACCAAAAAATAAAAATGAATATTGCAATATTACAACAGAGAAAAAGATTCTAAGATTGTTACCACCAAGCAAATACCTTATACATCCCCATGAACTCCTATCCTCCCTCTGAGACGTCGCCAGCCCGGCCTGCTCCTACACCCACCGTCAGCTCTGTCTCCAGGCTTCGTCGCTGTCTTTTGGTCTGTCTCAGCAACCTCTGGTCCTTTTCTCATTTCTTCCCCAGACTGTTCTGTTTTCCAATTTCAGACAAAAACTCTCTTCAGCTTTTTCTACTATCTAATGTACCTCCTTAACAACGATTTACATCATTTTAAATCTTCACTTATTTCATATGAAAAAAAAAACTAATACTTGGTGTGAAAAAGGCTGTACTCAATAAAATTACATTATTACTACCCAGGAGAATGGGCTCACATTTCTTTGATCCGTAGTATTGAAGTGAATTGCATAAGAGAACAAAAGCACAATGTTACTCTTTTTTATTGAGGGTCCTAGTAGAATATTTAAAATTACCCAAAAAGAATAATAAAATTAAAAACTCACTTTAAAAAGGTCTCTAACATAATTCAAAACCAAGGACTTATTTTTTTTAAGCCTTCTTTAATGGAGCCATCTACTTCCCATTCCCCAGGTCAGGGCATAAGCTGGCAGGTCCTCTCAGCGATTGCAAACTAAGACAATTGTAATGGGCCAGCCAGCATCAGAATTTATTGACTGAGCCACATATTAGAAAGTCTCCTTTGGTTTTAGGCCCAGGAGTTTTTGTTCTCTTTCAGCTTTTGTTCTCATTGTGTTGCTGTGGGTTAAGTTAAAAATGTTTATATTAATATCAAGCAGGCCTAATTCCTGAGGTTTTAATGTTAAAATGCCACCAAGAAGAGAAGGTAAAGTCCTGCTGTTATGCCCCCTAATAAAGACTGTTTTTCCCCTCTGGTACAAATAGTACATGTTACCTAGATAGGGAAAATGGGTACCTAAGTGTTATTACCTGCGCTGTTTATCAAATTCTTGACTTTCTAAAGCTAATATAGAGAAAGGTTGCCAATTGTAACTTACTAGACTTAAAAACTGCATTGCATAAGAGAACTGAGTCAAAATAAAAAAAGGTCTTAAAAATATTGATATGATTTCATATTTGTATTCTGTACTTGTCTTAACTAGTAGGTAATGACTTGCCTTTCTCCTTTACCATTTTGTCTTTAGACTTTGTGCTGACCCCGCCTCCCCAGTCCAGTGGATCAGCTGGTTGGCTAATGACCATTTTTCTTCCTTTTTTTCCTATCATACTCAATAAGAATATTTTCTGCTCCAAGGAAATACATTAAAATACTAATCCCCCAAATCAGGTTTAGGCATAGTTAGCTGAATCCCAAAGAGTGTTAAAAGAGAAACCCTATCTCATCTGATTAGATGCAGTGACCAAAACTTCATTCTCCCCTCAACAAAACATTACTGCAATTATGTGTCTCACATCAGAAACTGGATAGCTTCTCGAAATTAAATATGCCTTCTTTTGTGAATAGTGAGCATAGAAGCAAAGAAGACATACATGCTTTTATTTTCCTTGAAAAACAGTCAGTATCTAAAGCTTATTTGTTCATTCATCTTTAATGGAGAAATTTCTACTGAGAACCCTCATAGGTGAATTTCTACTACAACTCTATTAAGATAGGGTGAAGGGGCCCTCCCTGGTGGCACAGCAAGTTAAAGCACAGCACTAAGAAGCTTAAGCCACTTCTGCATGAGTTCGATTCCCCCCTGCCCCGGAGGTGACCACATGGTGTGACAGACCCCTCCTGACCCGCCCGCTGCTCCCCTCAGCAGTGTACTTCGTCGATCTACCTGTTCTGCTCCCCACGCTGTCTCTGGTAAAGCCTCTCACTGCCCCTGAGCCTCTGGCCTGTATCCCAGTTCTGTATGCACAAATAAATAAATCTTTAAAAAAAAAAAAATAGGGTGAAGGTTATAAATCTATATACTGGATTTAAGTAGCTTTATCCAACATACTCACAAGGTTACAAATACCTTGCAAAAAAATGTTTTGAAAAATTGGACTAATGAATACAACTTCTTGCATATCTCTCTCCGGTGAGTGAGTCTTGAGTTTCTATTTGGTTGAATTTACCTTATAATTGTCTTTCCTAATAAAATACAGGCTTAATGTAACCAGTTCATTGTGTGTGTATGGAAGAGGTGAATATGACTTAGGCACCCTGTTTTTGCTTATGAGCCAACACCCATTCTTTCTGCTTATTTCAGAGCCTGGAGGCTCACCTAAAATTTTACTGCCATATAAAGATAAACTGTCTCTTGCATTTGTCATCAGAGAAACTGTATGGCCAAGACTAGTTTAAGGGAAATGGAAGATACGGCTGGATAATCATTTGTCAGGTAGATCCTGGGTATTGAAACAGTCACACTGTTGTGTCAAATACTTCACATAAAACTGAGGAAAATTTGCAAGTCTTTGGATGATGACCCAACAAATTTCATAGAAAATATTATCAGACTGGATGACAACCAAGCTGAAATGGTTAATTGTGATAATGTTGAGATTTTAAATTATTTCATTGCTGAGACAAATTTAAGATGAAATTAAATGTCTTCTATTTCCAAGGTGAGTGAAGGGGAAACCTGATAGTGGTACTCAGATAAAAGGATCTGGCAGTGTTAGTTTACCACATTCCAGTACAAAACCACAATATAGCACACCTGGGGAGGAGAACAGGAGGGAAAATCTAAGGCCTCGTATGAGTGTATTAATAGGAGGATGTGTCCAGATCAAAAGGGTAATCTGATGTGGTAAGATCAACCACAGAATACTGTGTTCCATTCGAAGTATCACATTCAAAGCAGACTTTGAGCAAGCATTTCACTGTTTGGAGGAGTCAGAACAGAAGGTTGATAACTGAAATTACTTCTCAAGAGGAATATGTAAGAGAATTAGGAAGTTGAATCTAGAGATAAATTTAGAAATACAAATGACAACTTTTTAAAAACTTGACGGGTATGGGAGAGGGAATAGGATTAGCCTGTATTGCTTTGGAAGCCAATGCTTAGAAAAATGGTTAGAAATTGGAAGGAAGCTTTACTTCAGAGAAAGCCCTTTCTAATAATTATTGTTAATTCCACATCTGTATTGATGCTGTAAATAAATATTCAAGCAAAGCTGGAACCTGACCCGAATGCTACAGAAGGATTTTCTTTTGAGGAGATATTATTCCAAATCAGCTTTGAGCTATCGCCAAAATTTAAGAAGCAGCAAAATTAATAAGCATCATCAGAGAAGCATTACTCAAGTGAAAGAAGTGTTTACATGCTAGACACTGAGTTAGTTGTAGCTCCCGTGTACTGCAAAGATTACTCCTCATATATAACCTGCCAGTGCTTATCCAGAGGATAGTACGATCCTTCCTGTGGATAATCTGGTAACTGAAGATGGGAGATTAATAGTCATAATGACCAACAGTGACCATAATACAACCGGAATGAAGACTTATTTTCTTCCTTTCCAGAATGTACAGTTACTCTCTGCCTATTCTACCCTTACTGTCTTCATCACATACACCCATGAAAATCTAACTCAAATAGCCAGTTTACTGTGTTTGCACTCTACCACATTCTTAACTCTTTGAGTCATTGTTTTTTGATCTCCTGCCTTCCACAGTCCTTGACTCATTATGAATAGTCCATAAGTAATTGTTACATAAAGCATACCTTTAAAATTACCTTTAGCTATAAAGACATTTTCCTACAAGAAATGCAAAATACCTAATTTGTAAATGAATCAAAAACTACATAAATGCTTGTTATGCCTTCCACAAGAGACCTTTTATGTACTGAACTAAACTTAGTGTTACTTAATTTCTGTATGAGAATGATGAAACTAACATACTTTGTAAAAGCAAAATTGGGGATGTTTCTAAAGATTCCTCTATTTCTCTCTGTGATTATGTACTCTAAACCTAGGTATTCTTTAATCTAGATTCTCCTGTACAGGAGAGAAAGTAGATAGGTGTTAGTGATTGCCCTGAAGTTATATTGAAATATTGTTGTAGATGGATGTGTGCATTTTGTCCAGGGAACAGACCCCTAGTAAAATTTAACAGCTATTATCTTAAACAACTTGTTTTCAAACTTTTGTGTTTAAATTGAATGTGAAGACTATTAGGTACCAGGCATGTGCTTGTCACTGAGAATATGAAAATAAAAAACAATCCTAACTTACGTTGCTTACAATATAGTTGTGAAGACAAATAAGTTTATCATAAGCTATGAAAGAAAGGTATGTATAAAAATCCTTAATGTTGCTTTTCCCCAACACTGGTTAGCTCCATCCTACAGCTAGACCTTTGTGCCACAAAACCTTATGGTTACCATTTCATCTGCCAACATATTTTTATAAAAATGATTTATTTCCTCTGTTCAGCACTCCACAGGACTGACATGGCAGTTGTCGATCTCTGTTATAGCCAGGAGTTTCTTAGACCCTTTGGTTTCAGGACTCACAAACAAGAGATGAAAATACTCACTTTCAGCATTTTTATGTACTATGATCAAATGGCTATGAACTTCTAGTCATTAGAAGAATAATGTCAGATTTCACTTAACCTGGTAAGTATAATATACCCGAGAGGTACAGATACATCCTATAAGTCTAGAAAACAGGCTGTTAAAATGACAGTGGAGTGTTTATTTAGATTCCTTCTGCCTTTTCCTATCACAATAATTTCCCATTCAGTTTTTACTGCCAATAGTAGTTTTTACTAGGAGTAAAAACTAAAGTGCACCCCATTCTTCAATCTCTTACTGCCTAGTTACTCTCCCTTGCACAGGGAGGTAACTAATTAAGCAGACTAAATAAACACTAGAAAAAAATATCAGTGTTCCAAGGTTCATGACAAGGACTAGACCTGGACTTTCAACTTACACCCCATTCCTTGTGTATTGTACAGTAATCAATTCCATGTTGATGAATTTTGAAGTCATTGTCCCTCTTTGGACATTACAAGCAATGTCATCAAGATTATCTTTGTAAACATGTTCTTTTCACATCTGTCAGTTTAATCTGTTGAATAAATTCTCAAAATGTAGTTCCTTGTTCAAAGGGTAGAGGCATTTTACATGTTGGATATTATCGACTCAGAGTAATGTTACATAACACTATTTACATTATTTAACTGAGGCAGTCACTAAAGATAAATGAGGGAAAGTGATAATTAATTAGCAAACAAAGCAAAAAATCTGGCATGATATTATTTATATTGCTTGCTTTCCCCACTGGGTGATAAAGACTAAAGGTTAAGTCTTTTAGAAAGTGGTAGGAGTGATTCCAGACTGAATTTTTTTTTCTCTGTTAATGACTGGGTAGCTCCTAAAAGGAATGCAAGACTTTATCCCAGAACAAAGCAGCCATCAGTCCCTTTGTATTCAGGGCAAAGTGGGGGAAGCCAAAAGATCCATTTTGTCATCCCTGTCCCAAATCAGATGCCTTTCTGTGGTCTTCAACATTGTGTGACTGACAAGTGGGACTTCTGTTGCAATTCACAATGCAATCACTGTTCTAAACATGCACATGGCCCACTCTCTTAGCTTCAATTATAAAATCTTCAGCCAGAGGCTATTTTGCTCTGTTTTGTTCAATCAACTACACAGCCAGTGAAATTCCAGCTGGGATCAGGTGGCAAGAGAGGAATTTCTCACACTTCATCTATCAGGTCCTCCTACCTTCATATATTTCTCACTTTCGGACGCCATGATAAGGAAACTTTTTCTGATGACCCTATTTGATACTTCCCTTCTTAGTTAAGAATTGGGGAATAGGAGCTCAATGGTGAATTTATCTAAGTGAGGACAGAACCCCTGAATTCACAAAGCTCAGTCATTCTGTTCCATGATTTTCATATCACAAATTCTTTAGTCGATAAGCCGCATCCTGTGGTCTAACCAGCCATATGAAGCCTCTTTCTCCTGCCTTTCCTTTTCATCTTGCTCCCCAAAGACTAATTAGATGAATAGGAGATTCTGAGCAAATTTCTCCAAATCCCAGAGGAGCATAGCAAGTGGTCTGAAGCAGAAAACAAGTGAGGCAATGGACAAAGAGTTATGTGCTTTTAAACTTGAG